CCGTGCCTCCGGCCCGGCAGCCGACCCGCGGCAGGCCCGTGTCGGCCCGAGCAGGCGCAGGGCGGGTGCGCGGGGCCGCTCCAGAGCCCTTCCCTGCTGGCCTCCGGCCCCCGGGATCTGTAGCAAGGACAAGCCAACAGTTTTTTTTTTTTACTCTTTCGCTTTTCCTTTTTTTTTTTTTTTTTGTTGCGTCTTCAGATTCTGCCGGTCTTGTGTTGACTGGGAGCCTTGAACACGCGGCCGCTAGGCCTGTGCTTCAGCCTACCCTTCCTCCGGCGTGTAGCCAGATCTGGTGTAGGGGTGGGTGACCACCCAGGGCAGTGTGGTTAGGGGCCACCGCGCCCCCTGGTGAGCAGCAGGGAGCGGTGCCCCCCGTCGGCCCTGAACTGCACGGGATGCCGTGCACAGGGGTGGCAATAGTCCCTGCTCCTGCCTGGGTGGGATGGGGTTGCACATATAGGGAGCCCTAGGTGAGGACTAGTGGCCTGCATAGGGGAGCAGGGAAGGGCTCTGGCCATGTCTCGCCTGCAGGTTGGCTGGTTGAGTGGCAGCCCCTGTAGGAGCTCTGTGGTGGCCTCAGGGCACTGGTGCTGTCTCTCTTTCCCCTCCCCACAGCACTGGTTGCTCATCAGGCTCCTGCTTCCTCCACTTCAGCTCCATGGGCTGCAGCTCCCTGTTATAGGCAGATGTCCTGCCCAGCTCCCTGGCTGGTGGATGGAGCCCCTCTAGCAGGTCAGCAGCGCTGCTGACTTGGGGAAGAGGGGGGTGCCAAAATACAAATTTGCTCAGGGTGCCATTTTCCCTAAGGCCAGCTCTGCATATAGCCCAATCCCTCTCAGTGGAATGAGGAAAGCATTGAGCATCTGTTTTTTTTTTGTGGGGGGAGTTACATGCTTGGTTTTTTGTTTGTTTGTTTTTTTGGAATGACATCTCCTTTCTTGTGGATAGATATTGGGAAAGCATCACTTTTTCTTTCGCAGTTGAATGTTTTTTCTTACAGAACCACCATAAGGTTCTCAAAACTCAATCATTAATGTGAAAAATCAAAGGTCAGCTTTCAGGTAGTTGAAAAGTACCAGACATTCAAAATATGTAAATATTAATATTAAAACAGAGCTCCTATGCTTGTTGCCAAACTGAAATAACAGCACATAATTGTTCTGTAGTTTTCCAAGGGCTTTCATATCTTGAAATTTCAAACATGGAAACTGAATCTGATTTAAAGAAAGAGAAGTTGCACCAACATCCCTTCTATTGCAATGTAAGTATTTCATCTTATTTTTAAAGACTTTTGGCAAAATACAATTTTGCAAGAGCAAATTGGACTGTGAATCAATGGGAAGCTAATTATGTTTAAAGTGGCTTGCAGCATGCTTTAAGAGTGCCTATACACATGTGGCAAGGCTGCTCTGATGCACTATAATTACAGCACATTGGAGTAGAGTAGATTAATTGCCATTTTTTAGCACTGGGATACTGATACACAAGATCCTCTGGGCGCTTTAATTAGAGCGGCTCTCGGTTGGAAGGGATCTCATGGATCATTTAATCCAGTCTCTTTGCCCGGATACAGGATATGTTCTTCCCGAGCTATCTCAAACAAATGCTTATTGTCTTTCTGACAACTTCCAATGAAGAATATTCCAGAATATCATTGGGCAGCTTGTTCTAGTGTCTTACTCTTGTTAAGTTTCAGAAGTGTTTTGAGATTTAGTCTCAAAAGAATGGCCCGTTGAAATTGTTCTCAGTGTTCTTTATAGCCGCCTTTCAAATACTTGAAACTGCTTCTCCCCACCTCTGATTCCTTTGTCAGTCCCCTATCTATACTCTCCAGGCTATCTGTCACCTTTTCAGTTTTCTAGCTGAGGCCTACACAGCACTTAGTGGAGTGGTACTGTCGCCTGTTTTACATGCATGTGCACATATACGGATGTGTGTGTGTGTGTGTACATATGCACACTTTTATTAATGGCGTTTGCTTTTTTGGCAACTGTCACGTGGCTGACTCACGTTGGGAGTTAATGAGCTACCAAAACCCTTATATCAGGGGTGGGCAAAATATGGCCTGCGGGCCAGATCTGGATTACCAAGGAATTTTGTACGGCCCACAGTGGATCCCTTGGTCCCACCCAGCCCAGGAGCAGGGGGAGCCTAGGCCATGGTATATGCAGCTGGTCCTGCCACCCCCAGATTCACAGCAGGGCTGGGGTGGCATGATGGATGGACTTACTTCCTGGCAGCCCCTGTGATGGCAACTTCTTCCAGCTGCCACCACTGGACCAAGCCCCACTGCCTGGGCACCCATTCAGCCATATGGACAGGATGGGGCCAGTGGGTGGGTGGGAGCGCTGTCCAGGAGTGAGGTGGGATGAGATCATGGGGGAGGATCGTAGGGTAGTGATACTGTAGGGCCAGGGCCGAGCAGTAATCTGCTGCCCATACATCCCTGCAACAGGCACCAGTTCCATAGATGGGCATGCAGGGAGAGGATCACGGCTCTGCTGTGGGCCCCAGCCCCCCACCTTCACCGTCTCAAGATTGGACACAGCTCCCTGCCTGCGGCCCGCCCCATTGTGTCTACCTGACCATGCGCCCTGCCCACATGTGTTCTAGCCTGTCTTCATGGAGACCCTGGGATCTCAGGGCAGTGACAGTGTGGGGCCAGGACCTGGGGCAGAGCTGTGATCTGATCCCAGCATGCCCCAGCCCACAGAACCAGCACCTGTCTCAGGGTCATGCAGTAAGCAGATTATGGCTGTGCTCTAGGCCCTGGCCCTGCACTGTCATGGCTCTGTGATCCCAGCCCTGCCTGCCCATCCCACTCTCAGATGCCCAGATCTCTTCGTTGTCTCTATTTGCTTTGTTAGGTATTTGGTGATGGTTTATTTTTGTTGTAAAGAAGGAAGCAAAGTAGTCTTTGAACAGCTCTGGCTTTGTGCTTTTCTTTAATAATTTGTGGACCCACAGTTTCCTTAGTCTGTCTCCATGTTTGACATGTCTAGAATTTCTGCTTGTTAGCTTTAACCTCCCTTGCCAGTTGTATTTCTTTTTGAGCCTTTGCTTTGCTCATTTTGTCCTGAAAGTTCTTGCTGTTTCTTGGTATTCTTCCTTAGTGACTTACTCTTCTTTCCATTAACTGTGTTTCTCTTCTGCTTTTGAGGTAACTAAGCATTTCCTTGTGTTATCCACATTGGCCTCTTACAGTTCTAATTTTCTGCTGTGTTGGAATAGGTTTCTGTTGAGCCTTCAGTGTTAAACCATTCAGGAACTGCCAGCCCTCCTGCACACTTAGCCTTCAGTTTTTCTACCTGTGGGACCTTACCTATACTTAGTCATGTTCCTGACATAGACCCCCATAGAAAAGTCGAAACTGACTAAGAAAACACATGTGAAAGGATTTAAAAAAAAAAAACCTCAGGTAGACTTCACCATTTGGTGCACGAAACGTGGGTGGGCACCATGTTTGAACATAGGAACAGTTGCTCTTTGGTGACTGGTATCTCCTCTTCTAAGTATGGTACAAAGGTAATCTTGGTGTCTAACCCAATGTTTTCAACGTGAAACAATCCAATAAAGATGTTTCCAATGTCATAGTGACAAAAGAAAGTAGGGTTCACAATTTTCTCAGGGCAAATTATCTCAATTTTATTTATGGAATTTTTTCTTACATACCAGTTGAAATCTAAATGTTGTATATAAAACTGGAATATTAATATGGAATTAATAGGAAGTACTATAACATACAACATGATATTAAACAAATTAATGCAACTATTGAAATATTGTTTCTTTTTATGTTTTGGGATTAGCCATTACATCCGTTAGACTACTTCGTTTTCATTATTCAGTTTTCACCACATTTGCAGTATTCAGTAAAAGAAATGTAATTTTTTGGACACTTGCATCTTGCAGTTTTGCATGTTGCACAGTTGTATGTCAGCAGTAATTAATCAGAAATGGAATGGAGATATTTGTCTGGAAAAAGAGCTCTGCTTGTGTCTTCATACCACCCCAAATCTTTCAGATTTAATATACCTCTGTAGCTGCTGTCATCTAGGCTAAAGGATTCACATGCCACAAAAAAGTGTCTCCTGCGATGTCCATCTTGAATAGAGAAAGAAGTGGGGGAAAGCTGTGGGATCAGTTTACTTTTGTTCAGTGCAAAATGAAGTTCATTGCAAAACATTTGATAAAGTGATGGCTGTAGGACCTTAACAGGGTATTCAGCTCTGTTAACTACATCTTCAGAAATTGTGCTATGTTCAGTAAAACCTAAGAGGAATTTCTCTGGTGATGTGTTCAATGCTGACATACTTGTTCCCACTTTGCTGGTGACATCACATCCTGTGAGACTGTGAGCCTTAATAAGAACACTGCACAAAGTTGGTCCTAGTTTCTGTCCAAGAATCTAAAGAGGAACAAATCTTACTTTATCACTCAAGCCTACTTTAATCCAAAGTTCCAAAACTGCTGTTTCAAACAGATGAAACGGATATCGAAGAAGGACAAAAACATCTGTATCATTAGACAGGACTACGACCTGTATGAAACCAAATGAAACTGCATCAAATAAATGGATGACCAGCTAAGTATCTGCTTCTTGGAGAGCAGCAGACAGATGATTGTATAAGTGCCCTTCATCATCTGTGATCATTATGGCCTTCAGTCACAGTTCCACTTAACACTGTAGTATGTATGCTACCCTCTCTTCCTTTTTCACAAAAGTATTGTTCGGCTGACAGTTGTAATACCTCTTTGTTTGCTGAAGAAGGGCAAAACCTCTCCATCTGAACAGGTAAAGGAATGTCAGGATCCAGTTTTACAAACTCAGTTGGTGTAATAGTTTTTCTCCATTCTCATTTGCGTTCTTTCAATTACTTCTCCACATAACTGTCATACACAATATCTACCCTCTGAACCAGTTGGAATTGAATAGTTTTCTTCCATACAGTATCAAAAAGTTCTTGAAAAGTTTTCATTTTTTTGTTTTGGACTTGGCGTACTTGATACAAAGTCTACAATTACCATAGTTTTTTTTTTTGTTGCTGTTCTGATGGAAATTGTAATCAGATGGCTGCAGTTTTTTTCTCAATCTCCCCTGAAAGAACTGACTTCATTGGTTTAATAAGAAGGCCACAGTCATCAAATAATTTGGTAGATGGCAGTAGATCGTCTTTCGGTATGTTCTTAATAGACTCTCCTTCATCTTTTGCTGTGTGTAGGATTTTCTCAACTTTAGAGTAGGATTTCTTTTCTGATGCTGCAGTTGGTTTATGTTTTTCTACCTGTTTATCTCCATCAGAAACAAATCCTGGACACTTTTACATTCTTAATGATATCCACAAGCTTCTTTGTTAAATGTTCATCACTAAACTGCATATAAGCCTCCTTGGTGTGTTCTCTAAATGAAAGCAGTCTTTCAGCTACCTCTCTTGGGACACATTGCTTGCTTATGAAATTGAGAAGTTGCATCTGACTGGTGTGATGTGTGGGTTTCCTTTACCCTCCATGAAGTGGAACATGTAGAAAACATGCAATATTTGGGGCTGAACTCCCAGGCAACTCATGGCGAGTGGATGTCTCATGATATCTAGGTCTGTCAAACCCTGTTAATTCTCAAAATGTTTTGCTGATTGTGAAAATTTCATGATAAACTGGTTATTTACATGGTATGTTGGTTATTTACAGGGTACACAAATTCAGTATCGGTCAACACTTGTATCTTTTTTTGTGACAATAATCATGCCTAATCTCTGCTGCTTCCATGATTCATTTTCTTCCATTTGAAGTTGTAGTTTTTTGATCATTATCGGCCTGACGCTTACTTAAATCAACATGGCATTCTTCTCGTGTCTTCCCAGGAATTGCAGTTCTTCTCCTCACATGATCTGCCATGGTCTCAATGTATTTCAGTCAGGCTTCAATCTGAAAAACAAGACAAAAACACTTGTGAGTTTGGCTGCAAACATAATGACTCAACAAAAAATATTAAATCCATTAAACTACAGTTAATACACTAACTGGTCATTAAAATAATACACAATAAATAATAGAGTACACAATAAATTGAACAGATTAATAATTTATGTTTATTTATTAAAATAAGACAATAGCAAACTCGCACATATGACAAAACTCAATCATTATTTTGGTAGGGCAGTATATGGTACCAATTTTTTTCAATTACATGGACGTGGAGCATGGGAACCTACTTTCTTTTGTGTCACTGTGACATTGGAAACAGCTTTATTGGATTATTTGACCTTGAAAACATTAGGTTAGACACCAGGATTATATCTCTGTACCATACTTAGAAGAGGAGATACCAGTCCCCAAAGAGCAACTGTTGCCATGTTCAAAGATGGCGCCCTCCCACGTTCTGTGTACCAAATGAAGTCTACCCAAATTGTTCTTTATCCTTTCACGTGTGTTTTCTTAAGTACAGGTGGTTACCTTAGTCAGTTCTGACTTTTCTGTGGTGGGGGTCTATGCTAGGGAATAAACTCTCTCTGAATTGGCTGAAATCTTCCCTTTGAAATCATGCCCTTGTTTTGCTGTTTTCATGCCTTCATTTGAGGAGGTTATCTCATGTTACAGAGAGTATCTTTTGTATGAAGACCTTTATTAGTCCTTCTTTGAAGTTCAGTGAACAGAACGCTGGATATTTTTCTGTCTGGCTTTGGAGGAGCTATATGTTTTGGTAGAACTGTTTATAAGACCATGGGGATATACCTGATGTTTGATTAAACAAGATTTTTATTTGTTTTCTGTGTCACCTGTATTTTTTCACTTGCTAGTGTAGTACTGCGGAAATAATTATAAATCTTTTTAACCTAGATTTGCAAAATTTCATGTGCATCTGCCTTAAACTTACAGACTCACTTCCTGGGATACAAACACAAAACAGTAAGAACACTTTTTTGAACGAGCTTTTGTGTGTCACTTTAGCCATTAGCCATATTGAAGTGTGACAGAATATATGACTGTAATTCCTACCTGTTATATTACAAAATGGGTTTGCTTTACAAAGAAAAAGGGGTTTAATATTTTTATTTTTTATGTACTAATTCTACATGTGTAGTACAGTGGACCTTTTTTACAGCAATACTTTTATAAAAAAGTTGCTGCCAGTTTAGCTACCTTGGTCTTTGGTTCAGTAAGAATAGAGTTGATGTTTGTTCCAGAGTTTCAAGCTATAGTCAGCTAGAAAGGGACATGACATAAGATTAAATACAGGCATAGAAAATTGTTAAGCTAAACAGGATAATACAGCAAAGGAAAAGTTGTAAATACTTATCTGTTAGATAAATTTGTTGAAATCTGCCCTTTTGAAGTGTTGTCCTTGTTTTATCTTGTGCATTTTGGATAACCATCTTGAATACCTACACAAGTTTGAATTGTTAAATAAGATTTTTGTGTGTGTGTGCGCGCGTGCTCAGGCACTCATCACTTCAGATGTATAAATTTCGGAATAAATGTTAAGTAATTTTTTTCCCTTCGGGAAAAAATCTCTCATCAATTCAGGTTGAAGAAGCTCTAAAAGCCCATGGCATTGGTAAGTGCTAACTTATCTTTCTTTTGTTTTCACTAAAGCAGTATGTTATGTTTTATAAATATTTGTACAAAACCAGAAGCAAGCTTATCAAAAATAGTCATTTTAGACCCAGTCCTTTATTCCTAGCTCTTCTGAGTATTCAGTGGCTTTTCTTGCATGAGCCAAGGGTGGTCAGTCTGGAGCTTGAGAATTTAAAGTAATGCATTGTAATTATTGTGAATGCAACAGTTAATGTGGGATTATTGTTATAATCCTACACCAAAAATGGATTAATTGTCAGAGGCCTTTGAGACCTGAACTATCTATAGGGCTTAAAGAATTCAGTAGACTTCTAAATTTTGTGACCACGTATGTGTTCCAGTTAGTTTACAAATATTTTTTTAAAATCTCATTAGTTAGAACAATACTTTTCTGTATGTTTAATAACCTAATATTTTAGGTTGGTTATTATTGTCATCCCTTATTGCAAATGACCTGCTTGGCTCAACTGGGATATTAGGGAACTATTGAAAAAGAAAAAAGAAGCATATAAGCAATGAAAAAATGGTTCAGCAAGCAGAGCGGAGTACATTTTTATATAGCCAGGGTCTGGAGGTATGAGACACAGAAAGCCAAGGCAGGCATGGAGATCAAGCTAGCAATTGAAATAAAGGACAACAAAAAGTCCTTCTATAGGTACGTAAGGAGAGAGAAAAAATTGAGCTCCACTGTGGGACCCCTACTGAATACGGAGGGACACCCCACAGTTAATCCCTGTGAAAAGGCAAAGCTCCTAAATACTTACTTCACATCGTATTCCTGAAATCAGATGGAGCTGTTCACCTGTCCAGAGGCCCAGGGAATATAGTGAAGATAACAGACCACATTAAATCAGTCCTAAAGAGATGAGAGTACTCTTAGAACATTTGGATGTTTTTCAAGTCTGCTGGGCCGGATGACCTGCATCTGAGAGTCCTGAAAGAACTGGCTGAGCACATAGCAGGGCCTCTGACAAAGCTGTTCGAAGTGTAGTGGAACTTGGGAGTGGTCCTGAATGACTGGAAGAGGGCCAACATGTTACCTATCTTTAAGAAAGGGAAGAGGGATGACCCTGCAAACTATAGACCAGTCCTTCTGACTTCAGTCCTGGGAAAAAATTTTGAAAAAATTAAGGAGGCCATCAATTACCAGCTTGTAATTGATGGGGTATTAAAAAACAACCAGCACGGCCTTTCAAGGGTAGGTCATTCCTAACAAACCTGGCGTCCTTTTATGACCAGGTAACTAACCAGCTGGACAAGGGACATGAGTTTGGTATCCTTTACCTAGACTTCAGTAAAGCCTTTGATTCTGTTTCCCATGAGATTCTCTCAATTAAACGAGGGTACTGGCCTAGATCAGTCTACAGTGAGGTGGATAGACAACTGGCTTAGAGGCCAATCCCAGAGAGTTGTAATTGATGGGATGGCCTCATCCTCGAGGGCTGTCTCCAATCGTGTCTCCCAGGGATCGGTGCATGGACCCATGCTCTTTAACATCTTTATCAAAGACTTGGATGAAGGGGTGGAAAGAACAATGATTAAGTTTGCAGATGACACTAAACTGTGGGGAAAATGTGGGCACATCTGAGGATAGGGTAAGGATCCAGGATGATGTTGACAGATTGGTCCTATGGGGTGAATGGAATCAGATGAAGTTCAACAGGGAAAAGTGCCGGGTCCTTCATCTGGGTAGAAAAAATCTTCACCATAACTACATGATGAATGGTGGTCCACTGGCTGGCACAGCATCCAAATGGGGCATGGAGGTGACAATTGACCAGAAGATAAACATGAGCCAACAGTGCAATGAAGTCACTAGCAGGGCAAATAGAACTCTGGTGTGCATCAGCCAGTGTGTTGCCAGTAGATCCAGGGAGGTGCTTCTCCCTCTCTATTCAGTGTTTGTGAGGCCATAGCTGGAGTACTGTGTCCAGTTCTGGGCACCGCACTTCAGGAAGGATGTGGATAAGTTTGAGAGGGTACAGAGATGGGCCACCCATATGATCAGGGGCCTGGAGGGTAGGCCCTATGAGGAGAGACTCTGAGAACTGGGTATGTTCAGTCTGAGTAAGAGAAGACTGAGAGGTGACTCAATAGCCATGTACAAGTATGTCAGGAGTGAGCACCAAGATCTAGGGGAGCAACTCTTTAAGAAGGCACCCCTTGGGAGGATGAGATCCAATGGGCACAAGCTAATTGAGGAAAACTTAGGCTGGACAGAAGGAAAAACTTCCTTTCTGTAAGGGTAACGAGAATGTGGAACACACTCCCAGGAGAGGTGGTGCAGTTGCCATTCTTGGAGGTGTTCAAGAGGAGGCTGGATAAGCACTTCATTGAGCTTGTTTGAGCCCAATAACCTGCCCATGGCAGGGGACTGAACTTGATGATCTTGCAGGTCCCTTCCAGTCCTTTGATTCTATAATTCTGTGAAATATTCAGGTGTTGCCACCAGACCTAATTTATGGTACACAGAATTCAGCAGCAACAAAATATTTAAAATTAAATAATTTTTAATGCTCAACATCAATAAAAGCCTGCTTCTTTGATAACATAGTTCATGTTCATGGTTCATGTCCAGTCTCCATAACTAGATTCTTCCTGGGCAAGAAGCATTTTCAGAAATGTTGATTTGGCTTTTTTTAAATTTATTTCTTTAGTTAAAACGGTCAGTGGTTCAGGAGATCAAGCAAAAGCTCCTGTAAAACTTCCTGATTATGGTAAGTTAATTGCCTTATCTAATGAAGTGTAGAAAAACATTAAGTGTGCATTTTACTTGTGAATTTCAAGAAAAGGTGAAAACTCATTACCTCTAACAGTATGAAAAATAGCTAGGTTTAATAGGAAATTTGTAATTTGCTTTTATTTATTGTACTGTCTTTATTATTCTCTACTTAACACACATACTACAGAAGGGTTTTATAAGGGAAGATAAAATGTGAATAGGATTTCAGGAGTGATCATTCACTATATAGGCTGGTTTTGTCTAATGTGTCTTTGCTTTGCTTCCTGCAGGGCATTTCAGAAAAGGAATTAAGTTGCCTGGATTTGTTAGCAAACTTCAATCCATGGCTGAAATAGTGGGCACTACTTCTTTTTTTCAATTAACACTGTTCTTAAAAGTATCAGGGTAGACAATGATGAATAATGTATCATGATTGTTGCTGTGGTGAAGGGGATTTATACCAAATTTCAGTGACATGCTTATATTTTATAGTTCAAACCGAGCCAGAAAAGTTTCAAGGACAAACCCTGGAAGAACAGCTTAATACATGTAAAGATTCGGAACCTGCACTTGGTGAGCTTTTTTGTTCCATGCTATAACTAAATGCCTTTAAAACAGTGGTCTCCAACATTTTTATGGTGAAGATTACTTTTTGGCACCCAGGATCTACCATCCCTCCCCGCCACCTCCCAGACAAGCTGCCCAGGCTCTGACCCCACTCATCCAGCCCACCCCAGGTGGCAGGGGGCATGGCTCAGCCCAGCCACGTGTGTCCTGCCACTCCCAATCATGGAGCCTCTGACAGACTGAGATAGATTGTCAGAGGCTTCACAATCAACCAGTCGATCGAGATCGATTAGTTGGTGACCACTGCTTTCAAGTATGTTAAATTTGCAGAGGGATTGAATCATCTAAACATACTATATTTACTCAAATACAAGATGAGACACCCCCCCCCCCCCCCCTTCAAAATCAGTATTGGTGGGGAAAGCCCCTCATTCACATACAAGAAAACTTACTAATTGTATTGTCTACCATTAAACTGCTGCCAAAAGCAGCATGTGCTCAGTAATGGAAACCAACTATGAAGCTGATTAATGCATCCAACACTGAGCATGACTATAAAACACATGGCCCATATTGTACAAACATACTGATGGAAACTTTTTATTATTATTATTATTAAAGTATCAAAAACTTTAAAAACCTGCTTTCAACTTAACTTGCTTTCATCAGCCTACATTGCATTACAGAAAAAAAGTCTACATCAGGCCAACAAAACTCAGTATTGAAACTTAAAACATTCTTCCATGAGCTTGTATCTGGTGTCTTGCCAGAAATACCACCCCAGTTTGCTTAAGCCCAAATGTGTAAGGTATCTTCTTCAGAGAGTTGCAGTTGTTGCAAGAGTGGGTTTCTTGCCTTCCACAATGCCATGCAAAAGCTCACTACAGCTGTCCATATTCTTCCTCCGTCCTTCCTCTGGGTTCCAGCCCACGTTCCACATTCAGCTGCTTCTAGCATGATTTGCCCCTTAGCACCCAGCTAAGGAGGCAAATTGTGGAGTTTCTCTGCCTTCCCCCAGACCATTTTGGTGAAATGACACTCCTGCATCACATGCCACATCCTTTTTTTCCTGCTATGTTTGTCTGGGGCATTCTGCTGTTCTGTACTGGTAACAGTTGGGGATTGTATAGGAGTTCCATTACAATCCGATGTGCTAGCAGCCAACTGAAGTCCTGGTGCTGCTTCTGTAAGCTTTTGTCAAAAACACCCTTCCAAATTGTCCATGCTTCTACTTCTATGAATCTCCCAACTGGGGACACAGTCTCCTTTTCCCTGACTCAGGCTTTGATTTTTTTTTAATAGTCCACCAACTCTCTTATGGCTATCATCTTTATCCATTACCAATTCACAAATTTTACAGTCTTTTCATACATTGGTGGCATTATCTAGGCCCAGGGCTGTGAGAGTGACCTTTTATATACATTATATTTATGCAATAACATCCCTATACTGTATCAGACAAACCCAGCCCATTTGGTACCCTCTTTTACCCGTCCTTTGCAGCATAGTCTGACATACTCCACATAAACAGATACACATCTGGGAAGCCCCATCTTTCATTCAGTTTTTCCTTGTATAGTGCTATTCTCCTAAGACTTTCCCTCTTGGCTTTCCAAAAGAATACTATTAGTTCCTGTTGAAACCTAGACGGTGGTCCATGATGGAGGGAACACCACACCTACATACAGTAGGACTGGGAGTACCACTGCCTTAATTACATTTACTCACCCTGCCATCAACAGTTTGTAGTCATCAGCTCCCCAGTTCTGGTTTTACCTTCCCTTTCATCTTCTCCCAGGCCCCTTCACCTGTTGATCACATGTTCACCTCCACTCCCAGTCCATTATGACGTGTGACCCCAGTTTTCCCATTTCTTTCATCTTCCCTACCACCAGGCACTTACTTTTTTTGTATGTTTAGTTTTGCCCCGATGCCTTTTCACGTTCATATGTATGTCTTATTCTCCATTTTAGGGATACACTGCCTCTTGCTAAGATATTGACATCATCCATATACATCATGCATTTTGCTTGTATGTCCTTTCCTTTGGGGATTGGCACACCCTTGATCATGCAGTCTGTCCTAATCCTCTGTTCCAACAGCTCGATGGTGCAGGTGAATAGGAATGGTGACTTGGGGCACCCCTGTCTCATGCCTAATCTAACCTTGACTTTCTTCATTAGATGACCATTTACTCCTACCCTATACCATGCTCCTTTGTATAAAGTGTCAATCCAACTTGGAAACTTTGGTGGTACCCCCATGTTGTTCAGCGGGCTAAACAGGAACTTCTGCTCCACCCTTACTTTTTCCAAATTGAGATTCAGGAATTCCACATTCAATCCTTGTTCTTGACAGTAACAAACATGTATCTTATCAGCAGCAGTGTTTTAGTTACTACTCTGTCAGGGATTGCACAAACCTGGTCACTGTAGACCCATCTTTCCCACAACTTTTTTTAATCTGTTTGTAAAAAGTTTGGCATTATTTTATAATCTAAGTTTGATAAGATGCTTGGCCTCCAGTTCTCCAACTTTTCCCATTCTCTCTTCTTGTGTAATAGCATTATTATTCCTGTGTCTATACCTCCCCTGAGCTGCTCCCTCTCCAGACACTCCTGGAACACTGCCAACAGGTCCAGGCTTAGTATGTCCCAGAAAGTCTTGTAAAATTCTGCCAGGAGCCTGTTGTTCCCTGGAGCCTTTCCTGTCTTGAAGGTTTGGGTTGCTTTCCATAGTTCTTCCAATGTCCACACCTTCTTTAGCTGATGCCTCTCGTTTTCCTACAAACTCTCTTCTAAACTCACCTGGAGTTGAGAGCAGGTTCACTAGAGTGGATGTGGCAGGCTATTTGTGGTTCCAAATTGACTTTGCTTTTAGGTCTGTAGACTGGAATGTTCAAGCAATAGAGAGAATATTGGTGTTCTTGCACCACCTGCTACTGAGAATGGTGCTGGAAGTGGGAGAGCAAGGAACACTGGGTAGAGGGCAGTAGAAGTTAAATACAAGACTACTGGAAGGCAAATAAATGTGCAGATGGTATGGGAGCCACTATATGAAGAATCAGAAGCAGTGAAAGGCAGGGATACAAACAGAGTGAGATGGTGGGAAGATGTTAAGAACCCAAATCTTTCTTCAGACTGTGGGGAAAAGAAGGACCTGGGAAAATGGAAGAAATTTAGGAGACTGCAATGGAGTCTGCAGTGTCTCTTACAGCTGGCGGAAAAGGGATTCTCAGTAGCAGAGGAAGTCAAGAGACACAAAGAACCTATTGAAGGAGTGGTTTGGAGAGAAAAGACAGAAACATCTTCCTTGCAAAGGCTGCCTGGATAGAGGAAGAAGAATGGCCCTCTTACTTTGCCTGAAGTAGAGAAAAAAGTATTATGGCAGTGCAGGATGAGAAGGGAGTGTAACCAACAAAGACAGACGAGACACTGAGCTCAGTGAAGGAGTTGTACCAAAATTTATAGTCCGCCCAAGCGTTATATCACAAAGCCCGTGACTCATTTTTGGTGAGGTTAGAGGTGAGCTTGTAGGAAAATGAGTGGCATCAGCTGGAGAAGGCATGGACATTGGAAGAACTATGGAAAGCAACCCTATGGTGGAGGATGATGGGTAATATCTTGGGATAAATATGGTCATCCAAGTCCAATCGATGTACTGAGATTCAGATCTGGGCATGACTTCACTACTGATTTCAAACTTGAGACGGATTCTTTCTTCTTTTGTGTTCTTCCTCCTCTACCTTCTCTTTTCACCATGTCCATTGCACATAACAAACTTTATATTTGGCCTTCATCTAAGAACTGTACCCCAATGAGGCTTTGGCTTTCCTCTGCAGGCCCTGTTGAACCCAAGAGCTTGGAGTGGGTCCAGGGGGAGGACTTGAGAGGAAACTCCCATTGTCTGTTTCCTTTGTATCTTTTCAAACACCTGCCACTCAAATTTGCTTCACGCATCCTTCAGACCACTCTGCATCATTGGCCGCCTCCTCCTCTTTCTCTTGCTTCTTCCCCCACCTCCTACCCTTTTCCTTAACCCTTGTGACCTCCATTCTCCATTCTATTGACTGTATTTGAAAATGATCTGGGACAGGTGCAGAGCACACATGACCTGATTTCCTGCAAAAATTACACTTCCGTTCCTTCTTACACTCTTGCACTCCATGACCCTTCTTTCAAGCACACTATGCAAATCTCATATGGGCAGGTCACTGCCAAATGCCCTTCCTTCTTGCACCTCAAACATAACTTTGTCTGTCCATAGTAAATCATCAGTCCTTTGTGGGGCCCTAAGGCAATTCCCAGAGGCAGGTGTTGTACTCCACCTGCCCCTACTAAATCCACCCAGAGTAATACGTGGCCCCTCCAGGCTCTGGTCCACACCTGATCTGGGTTTCTGACCTTGTCCATGTTCTTCACTCTCACAGTGCCACAATAACCAAAAATCTTACAGCCTCCTCTGCAATAAAGTTCATATGCATCTTAATGGTGATTACTCTTTCTTGGGTATCCTCAGCATCCCCAAAATCAAACTGTCAGGACAGGGTCTTCCCGACATCTTTTGTATGTCTCCCAGAATTTTTGGTATGAAGTCTCATTCCTAAATGTTACTTTCCAATCCAAGTTGCTCAGTATCTGGATTAGATAATTCATATCAAGCACACAAACCTTCATTGTCCCCAGCAGTATCAGCCTACTGAATCCATTTTAGTCATCTCTAGCATCTCCTAGCTTATACAAGTTACTATAGGTATGTTTATTTCAAAATCTGTGTTTTCAAAAATGCCCCTTACTTCTGTGTGCTCAGGGAGAGCAGGGTCTGACGGAAAGGAGGGAGAGAAGGGGCTGCAGGGGGAAGAAGTTGGGGGAGGGAAGGGGCACAGAGGATAAGGGGACTGCTTGGCAGCCCAGATTTATTTTCCCGGTGGTAGGAGTGGGAGGGGGCAAAACCAAGGCAGACCTCCAATAATGTTCCGTACCTGGAAAATTGTAACAAATTTATAAATTTTCCATATATAGAATCTAATCATTGGGGCTTTAGTTAAACCCTTTATTTATATTCAGGGTCATCTTGTATTTGAGTAAATATTGCATTACCCAAATTCACATTTATGAAATCTCACACATCAGGTGGCTTGCCAGTATGGTATATGTAAGTACATATATTACTGGCAAGAGTTCTTGCAGTTACCATTGAATATTCTTGAAGTTGAATATCTCATGGTGGGCTTTTAAAGGGACCTCACTTTCATGAGGGGTTGTTCTGAAACCTTGAGTTGTGCACCTCTCAAATTACTGGCAAGATTTTCAAAGTTGAAGTGACGGGTTTCTTTAGTATTACACTTTTTTTTTTTTTTTACTTTATTTTGTGAGTATTAAAATGGAGTACGGATTTTCACTAGATCCTGCATTTTACAATGTTTTCTTTCTGTAATGCAGGACTTGATTATATAATTGAATACCGCTCAAAAGACAATTTCCCTGTTCTCTATGAATGTCAGCTGTGTCACTGCCAAACAGGATTGAGTAACATGTTCATGCATGTTTATGGTGCTAAACATAGAATGGCATATCTGGTAAGATTTCTTTTTTTAAGTAAATGTTCCTACTTATAGTTAATTGGATGGCAGATATATAATGACACCTCCTTGTGTTTTAAATATACATGTGTTAGGTTGGTAAAACTGTTTAAAAAAAGCTTCTCTGAAGGCTTGGCAAAGATTAGTGTTATAAAATAAATAGGGCTGCACCGATAGAGATTTTGGGGGCCGATACCAATAGCTGATACCAATACGATATCAGATACAGCTGCCATCAGGTGGAAAGTCTGGTGTGGTGGAGGGGGAGAAGGGAGGGAAGGGGCTGGGGGACAGATCAAGGCCCCCTGCGGTGAGGGAAGGGGCAGGGGCTGCCTACCTGGGGCGGGAGGCCCTGCAGGGAGGAGGCACGGCTCATAGGGTGGGGGCAGCTCCTGCAGCTGCTTGCACCCCGGGGGGGAGGGGGCATGTGCCCCCTGGATCTGCACGGCGCGGGATGGTCTGCAGCTGCAGGCTGGAGCCGGAGCATGGCTGTGCGGCACTTGTGCTGCGGTGGGGGGCACACAATAGAGCCATGGCTTGTGGGGTGGGGTTGGTTCCTGCTGCTGCTTGCACCCTGGGACAACGGGGACGGCAGGGGGAGACCCTGGATCTGCGCGGGGCGGGTGTCAGCTGCGGGGTGGAGCTGGAGCCGGCGCTGCACGGGGCTCTTCTTGCCGGGGGCTGGGCTCAGAGCAGGCTCCAGTGGTGCTGGGAGGAGGCTGCGGCCACCCCAAATTTCACTGCATCTCTACTCCCAGCCCCACGCTGCTGCCCGCTCAGCACAGCCCCAGCCGAACACCCGGCCTCCACCCAAGCATCAGGAAAAGCTGGGGCTGTGCTGGGCAGTGGTGCGGGGCTGGGAGTGGAGCTCCAGCGAAATTTGGGGTGGCTACAGCCTCCTCCCAGTGCCACTGGAGCCTGCTCTGAGCCCAGCCCCTGGCGAGAAGAGCCTTGCTCAGTGCCGGCTCCAGCTCTACCCTGCAGCTACCACCCACCCCACCCTGCACAGATCCAGGAGCACCCCCCTGTCCCCACTCTCCTGGGGTGCAAGCAGTGGCGGGAGCCACCCCCACCCCACAAGCCGTGGCTCCATCTTGTGCCCCCCGCCATGGCTAGGCAGTGCCTGTCCCCTCCCTCACCGCAGGGGCATTGATCTGCCACCTTGTGTAGCATGAGCATTTATCGGCCAAATTATTGGCCCCATAGGGCCAATATCGGATGTAGACAATTCTCTTCATATTGGTACCAGTCCGATATTGGACTGATGTGTCAGTGCACCTCTAAAACAAACATTTGGTTTATGTTCTGAACTGAGTACAACTCTTTTAGCTGTTCAGTTGCCTGAACAGTAACTAATAGCATGCCTTTCTGCTTCTAATTCCCTGAACTGTCCATTCCTTTTTGTTGGTTAACCAAAGATGTCATCTTGACAGCAACAATTCAAGCCTCCATGTAATTCCCTAAGGAAACTGTTCTTTTCAAAACTTATTTTTTTTAATGCTTTGAATTGTATGTAATTGCTGAAATTGAGCCAAAATTGTTTCCTGTTGGTTGTCTCCAAGTGTATGTTCTCCTAAGTTTATACGAATACTGTGTAGCGGAAAGGGTATGTAACTTGGAATCAGGTACCCAGGTTGTATCCCTATTAGTCTAGAGGAAAAGGCAATCAGGACTCAGTAGAGATGATATCTCTTATTAGACCAACAAGATTTTTGCAAAAAAAAATTCTTTAATTACAAGCTTTTGGGCACAAACACCCTTCATCAGGCATTGGAGAAAAGACTAGACGTTCTCCTGGTTAGAAATTAAAGTTCATATTTCCTAGGATTTCACAGAGGAGTCAATAGATGGAAAACTCCTCTGGGCAGTCAGTTCATAGCTGGTATGAAGCCTCTCATACCAGCTATGAGGTTTGTAAGAGGGTGTGGTTGTGTGTGGTGGTGGTGTAGGGTGTGTGGGGATTGTGGGGTGTGAAGGAGGATGGGGGGTGTGGGGATCTCTGCTCCCCCACCCTGGTGCACAGCCCCTGCTGGTGGCAGCTGCAGTAGGTGGTGGGCCTTGCGGTGCTTGTGGCCCATGCAGGTGCAGCTGCCTGGTGGTGCACAGCTCCATCCAGTTCCAGGAGCTGCACATGGCAGCAAGGAGTGGAGCCAGGCCAGCCTGCTTCTGTCGCATGGGGTTCACATGCAGCTCTGGGGACTTGCGCCACTGGCAGGAAACTCGGTCCGACGGAGCTGGGTGCCTTCCCTGCAGGGCTCCCCTTCACTTCTGGTGGAGTCCCGTGAGCTGCACATGGTGTCAGGGAGCAGGGAAGGCAGCCAGCTACATCACACAGGGCTTCCCCCTGGTGGCGCATGAGTCCCTGTAGCTCCATGTGAGCCCCGTGCAATAGAGGCAGGCTGGCTTGGCTCCACTCCTTGCCACTACATGCCACTTCCAGAAGTGGCTGGAGCCACGTGCTGCCTGCACAAGCCTAAAGCACCCTGAGGGCCTGCTACTGCTGCCTCTGGCAGGGGCTGTGTGCCATGGGGAGGTCCCCACATGCCCCCTTTCCCTCCCTCACACCCCATGAGCCCCCCCTTCCCCACACACACACACCCATACCCTGCCCACCTAATCGCTGTGCTCCTGCTGGGTATGGGCCCCAAGCTCCACATTCCTGCCCAGCTGCAGCTTCCCTATCTGGTGCCTGGAGCAGGCACTGCAGCAGGGGCACAGGAGGAGCCACTGGAGGCCGGGGAAGCTGAGCAGGTTTCCTGGTGGCTGCAGCAGTGGCAGCAGCTCTCTTGCCCAGAAGCTGTAAGTGTGGCCAGGGCCCTCCCGCACAGGAGTGTGGGAGCAAAGCATGAGGGCTGGGTGGGATACAAATAATTGGTAGGCACCCGCAGGCCAAATGAAACTGCCTGGTGGGCCAGATGCAGCCCATGGGGTGTATTTTGCCCATCCCTGATCTAGAGTATCACAGTGTTTTTGCATATGTGATCTGCTCAAAAATGGTTATGTGGGATCTGAGACCTTCTGGTATTCCTTAAATCAAAATCTTGGAAGGTTACAGGGTCAAATAACTGTTCACATTAAAACCACTGAAACACAATATGTTTCAAGCGATCAGTGCCAAGTAGAGGACTAATTCAGACTTGGAGGTAGATGCTAGGCCTCCCAAGATATAAATTGGCTCTGTACTGCTGATGGGACCTTCGTGGTCTCTGTAAATTGTGTCTGTTCTTGAGCCTTATTCCTACATAGTAGGCTGGATGGATATTTTACGCAACGTGAAAAACAGTTTGGATTTGATGAGCAGTTGAATTTTCAGTCAAGTGACTTACTGCTTTTGCACTAGTTGTCATACATAGTGAGTGTGTTCCGGTATGCTGTGTCAAGACAGTTTTTAGTGCTAATATACAGTGGGGGCCAAATCACATCTGGAATAAAAGCTATTTCCAACTTCTGGCTCCTTCAAAATGCTGTTACTGTATACAGCGTCTTTGGTACAGAGGAACTTTGGCATAAAGTATGTTGAGTCACAGGCTACATCCAGATGAGTGCAGACATTTGGTTCCCCGTGGACAAGTAGCAGCGGCACACCTTGTGCCACTGCTAGATGTCCCCAAGGAATGCCTGTGCCATGTGCCCTCTGGTGTGCGTCAGGTTACCCCAGGTGGGGTAGGGGAGGCTGGGACCAGCAACTGCGCTGGCCTCAGCAGCTTTACCTGGGGGCCAGGGAAGCTGCAGCCACAGTGCACAGTGTAGCTTCAGCTGGCCAGGCTCCAGTTCTGGGCAGCACACGCTGCCGCGATGTGCACCACCCCACTTTTTTTCTGCATGGGTTTTTTTGACCCTGTGAGATCACAAGGTCAGCTCCCCCACCTCCCCAGCACTGCAAGGTAGCAGCACAGGAAATGCCTGAATGTATAGTGTGTGGCACTTCAGACAGGTTTGCAGCACCACATACCACAGCCACGCTTATCTGAATGTGGCCACACTGGAAAAAATCTACATATTCAGAATCTTGATATTCTGAGCGAACAGTCGAAAGAATGTTTTTCAAATTGGTACTTTCTGGATGGAATAGTACTAGGTATACTGGCCATGTAGACCAATGAAGAGAAACCTGTGACATTTTTTCAGAGGATTTGAGATTTGCTAACGTCATTGGATGGATAGAAATGTCAAGGGAGGACATAATGGTATTCCCAGAGCTGTAAGTCATGAAAGATTTTTTTTTATATTGAAAAGAAAGCAGCTAAATCTTCATTCTGTTACAGTTGCTTCAAAATAGGTGAAGCATAAATACTTTATACCAAAGTAGACTGCCAAGTGACAAACATGCTATTTGCAAGACTCTACTGGAGGCAACCACGGCCAAAATGAGAAATAGAACATTCAGTTAATTTTCTCTGTTTTTTTTTTTTTTTTTGCTGATTTCAAGGAAGCATCTTATCTAGAAGGGAGTAAGCCCTGTCCATTTCAGCTGATACTTTTTTCCATTGACATTTACTTTCACCCTTTTATGAAGGGCGGGAATCTATATACCTCCAAAGATAGGAAATCAGTTTCTTTGCCTGTGGACAAGTTTTTCAAAATAGACCAGAGAACCAGCAGATGGTGAACTGAGGCACAGAGAAACCAAAGACTTGATTTTGGTCACACAGGAAGTCTGTGACAGAAAAGTAAATTGAACCAGGGCCTCTGGATTCCAAGGCTGATGCCCTATACTCTTGACTGTATTTCTTCCTACTATAGTTACTGCTACAAATATATATACTTTACTGTTCTTAATTCTTGGATATAAGAACTAATGGGACGGGGGTGTGAAATTTGGTGACTTTTTTTAATTATTAAAGTCTGCATTAATTGAATGGGTTGAATATTTTTATTTCTAGAGGCAACATTATCCTGAGATAGTTGAATCAGATGAAGTTAGAGGTCGAGGTTCCGAACTGAACAGAAGACTTAAACAAGTTGCAGCAACTATTGAAATGAAGGAAGGAAGAAAACAAATAAAGGTAATTTTTTATTAAACCCAATACTTCTTTCACATAATGTGGGCAAATTGTTACTGTTTTTGTAAATCATTGCTTCGATTATCTATGTGAAGAACACGAATAGCATTTGTTTTGGACCCCATTTTCCATTATTCACTAAGAAATGTCTAATCCAATATTTTTCATTTTAATTAAATGCACAATATTTAATTCCAAACAAATTATACAAACTGTTCTGCATTGCACTGAACATTCCCACTGGATTAACAAATTCACAGTATTTCAGCCCTAGGGAACAGACTTCTAAAAGAAAGAGAAATAAATAATCAATACTAGTCGTTCTGTAGTTTGTATTGTATCCTGCATAGCCCTTACCTAACTAGCGTAGAATAAGTTATTTCCCAACAGTAATGCTAAAAATACCTTCATGTGAACGATGCAAATATTACAGGCAAAGCCATACAGTGCTAAGAAATGTCATCAATTTATGCATTATCCATTGTAGCTAGGTTGTGTTGCCTTTTAACACACTATTGATCAAGTGAAGATATGTTATCATATGGTAAGAAAATCCGAATTCTTGCAAAAGTGATATAAACTTTCATGATTGTTCTGAAGCAATACACAAGTAATAAAATGCAGCATAGTTGTAATAACATATGAGACTTCATCCTAGTCAGTTCTTCAGACTGGATAGTCTTCAGTTGGAAAAGTATTTGGGGAAATAGTAATTCCACTATTCGTGGTAATTTTGCTTCCATTATAGAAGGCAGCTGCTGCCTTCTCTTAAGGAATTTGTAACTTATTCTTTAGCCAGAATGTCAGTGTCAGGTATTCATTTGTGTGGCAATTTAGAGGCCCATATCACATCTTCCATTTCTGGGATTATTCAGAAAGAAGGCTTCAGCAAGACAACTTTTAGATCTACTAGATTCTATTCATTATCTAGTATCTGCCTCAGTTTTTGACATATTTTCATAGACTTGAGTTTGGGACAGAGTAAGCATCAAGTGCTTTTAAGTAATCAAGATAAAAATTGTCTTCTAGACTCAAGTGCCCTTTAATGTGATAGTTGTAGTTCTATTAGTGGCATTTAACACACTTGCCCAGGTGGTTGAATGCCCAGGTGGTAATATGCCCCTGGAGAGCATTAAGAGTAAACTGCAGTTCCAAAGTACTCCGTTCTTTCTTTCCTGTGTAGTTCAAAAGAGTGATCCTTCTCCCAAAAGGCATTATTTTATGAAGCTCCAACACTTGTTTATCTCTCCTCCTCTTACACTGCATGTGGGGCTACTAGGAGGAATAAAGAAGCTACCAGGATGTGTAATGAAGAAGTTGTGTGCTGTGATGTTTTCAGTATCCCTATGACGACCTGCTTTCGCTTCTATTTCACCTGATACTGCCAGTGTCATTACATGATTAGTCCAGTGGATTTCAATCTTGTTAGGCTCAAGATACCCCTTAGAAAGTGCCAGCTCTTAGCTTTCACTAATTTTTTGCCATGGAAAAGTAATAGAGCAGTTTTTCTGTTGCAAAGACCTCAGACCCCAAATTAGAAAGTTTTTAACACTGTTGGTTCTTATTTTAAATCTCCGGGTTGATCTTGTGAGTCATACGTTGGTGTTCACACCACATGGCATCCTTAAACAGATCTCATGGCACCTCAAGTGGTTTTTCAGTTTCCACGAAGGACTTAAAGTGTTTAGTTGGTTTAAGGTATTTGGGACCTGCCTACTTGAGAGAGGCCACCTTTATGCTTCTGCCAAACTGTCACAGTTGGGATCAGCACAAGCTCTTGACCCTAAGCCTTTCTGTTTATAAAAAGGTTATGTATTGTTGGAAGAGCATTTGCTGGGAGGGGGGATCCCTCTTTCTTTTAGAATGCCCTTCTCCCTAGTAGGGATGTGAAAGGTTATACAATGAATCTGATCGTTTAACTGATAAGCCAGTGATAACCAGTTAGCTTACCAGTTAAAGGGCCCCAGCAGCTTCTCCCAGCAGCAGCTGTCTGAGCTGCTGTGTTATCAGTTAGCCATTTAACCAATATAATTAGAGGAAGTAAAACAGATGAATACTCTGCTTACTTAAACATGAGATAATTAGGGATGTTTGTAACAATTCTGAGATAGGTAGATACATGCTAAAAACTTACTGCAGGTTAGGCTGTTCCTATTAATGGTATTCCAGTAGAGCTGGGGGTTTTTTTCTTGAGGAAAATTTAACTTTTCATAACAAGAGTTGTCTGGATCTTCAACTTGAGTCCATACCTGTGCTTTTAATTGTTTGGTTTCTCCAGTAAAAGGTCTGGATAAAACTATAGCTTGGACTGTATTTTTCACAAGAAAGAGCCAAGTATTCTGCTTTATATCACAACCAGATCCAAGACTGTATGTTTCACTTGCAGTAATTGTTCTTTTGTATGTGGTGGTAATACTTTGTGTTTCATTGGGACTCTCTCTTACTGGACTCTGTTGCTTCTGCATCCAATCAGTGTCTGATTTTTGCAAGAAGTTATATTTTAAAAGCAAGTACATAACTCCCTTTCAAAATTCATTGTCTTGTTTACTGCGAGACTAAGATCAGCACCTGCTCTTCTTAGGGTATAGACGGGGATAACTGTTAGCCTTAAATCAGTATAATTTCATACAGAGATAACTGTTAGGTCTGCATGTTCCCGTAGCAACACAAGGGTGGCAAAACCATTGTAACTTTAACCCGGCATGAAACTTACAAAAATTTAGCTCACTTCTATGGCTATAGAAGCATGCAGATGTATCAGCTGTTATACTGCAACTAACTGTTACATCCTCAGGAGTGGCAACTCTCTCTTTTCCTCCTTAAAGCAGCTAAAAGTTATATGTTACTAGTTACTGATAATTTTTTAAGTCTAGCAACCTGTGGCTGCAGGGAGCCCCACAGCCAAGGGACTCTCTAAACACTCTAAATCAGTGCCATAGCAAGGGGGCGGCGGGTTGCCACCATTATGCATTGCCAAGTCACCTTCACATCCGGCCACCCCCCCCCCCCCCCCTTTTACTCCCCTCCTGCCACCGCCAGCTTCTTTGGCCTCCCCACCAATGCCACTGCTGACTTCTTTGGCTCCTCACTACCCCCTTGCCACTGCCGCTGGCTTATTTGCATCAGGGGCCCCCAAAACTATTATCTTGCAGAGGGGCCCAGAAAAATTGTGGGCCAGCCATGCTTAAGGTTTACACTAGCAGCCGGCAACTTTATTATAAACTGTGAGCTGGAACAACCTGGCTCCAGTCTGGTGTGGGCCATGGGCCTTAAGTTGTGCTGTGCGCCTTCTCCCCTAGTCCCCCAACTCTGTGCCTCCACTGCTGTACTCCTTGCCCTAGCATGAGTACAGGCAAAGCCCAGATCCAGCCAACGTGGGCTATATGTTGCTGCCCCCTATCTTATGCCATTGACCAGTATCCATTTTAAGAGTTGCACTAACAAATGGGCTTCGTATTTAGGTCGTAATGGATCCACCTATTATGAAGAGAAAATGGCAAGAACGTAAGTGTTCTTATCCTGTATGGGGTTTTTTTTTAATATAAATCTCTGTCCTGCAATCCTGATCTGGATAAAATTTTCATAGACTCCAAAGGCTGTTTTCTGTCAGTATGTGCTTCAAGTGTTGGTCAGTACTTTGTAGTTTCACAAGGTACTATGTAGAAAAACTGATGTATGCAGAACTGAAATAGGATACATTCCAAAAATGTGTGAATTAAAACCAATTTAATTATTTAATTGCAAGTTTATGGGTTGGCCAGATAACTGTAAGGATAATTGCACAAGAATAGTAATTGAACCTTGAGCAACCTTTGTAGTAACAAGGGATGAAGAAGTGGAGGATATTCATTGTGGCTGCTTGCAGACATTAAAAAACAAAAACAAACAAACCCCAAAACCATGCTTTACTGGAAGAAGCAGTGAATGATTTCAACCTGTCTCTGCAGCCTCTCACTCAGGGGTGGGCAATTATTTTGGGCAGAGGGTCACTGACCGAGTTTTGGGGAGCTGTCAAGGGTTGCAAGGGTAGCCCCGCCCCTTGACAGTTGCCCTGCCCCTGGTTGCCATATTGGAACTGGAAGTCCTGCCCCTCAACCCCTGACCTTTGCCACCAGAAGTCCCTCCCCTTGCCCTGGAAGTACTCCTTTTGGGAGGAAGGGTGCTGCAATCTTAAAACTGGAAAAAACTCAAATCATATACAAAAATATAAAACATCTACTATAAGTTATTTTAATTGTATTTAAAAATATTTTTGTAATGATTTATGTGTTTAGGAAGTGTATGTAGAGGTGACTGCATAATAAGTCAAAAAACAGTCCTACTGTATGTTGTGTGTGGGTGGTAAGGGGGGTACATGTGGTGGGAAGTGTGTGTGTGTGTGTGTGTGTGTGTGTAAGGAGGGGGGGGGTATGGATATGGTGCATGTACTGGGAGAGAGAGACAGGGCCGGGCTGCTGGCTCCATTGTGTGAGGCTCTTGCGGACTGCATGTGAACCTCATGTGACGCAGCCAGGCAGACCCTGTGCTCAGGCTCCGTGCTCCTGCAGCTACGCTCTGGGTCCCTGCACGTCTCAGGGCACCTGCACGAGCTCCACGCCCACCCGCCACCGCTTTTTCCCTGCTTTCCTTCCCACACATTTGTCCGCCACTCCCTGCTGCTGCGGCCCCCGCCACCTGCTGGTGCCACTGTCCCCGCCACTCATCATGGCCCCCGCCCCCACTGCTTGCTGCACCGCAACCACAGGCCCCGCTGCTCACCGCTCCACTCCCTGCGGCCCCCACTTCAGCTGCTCCTGCCACCCTGCTTTGGGCCCACCGCTGGCCCTGGGATAGCGGCACAGGCCCCACGCTCTTATCCATCTGTCACTGGCTCCCATGCACCCACTCGCTCCCAGTCCCGTGTGTGTCCCCCCCCCAATCCCAGCACCGCAGTACAGCTGGGGACAAGTGCATGCAGCCCTGACCCTGCGTACCCTGCGCTTGCCCATCTGGGCTGAGCAACAGCGGCAGCAGCAGCTAGGCATAAACAAACTGCTGCTCTGGGCAGAGGAAAGCAGCCCCCACCCCCTTGCCACCCCCGGACAGTGTTTGCTGCAGCTGCCAGGAGATGGTGCTGTGCTAGGCTGTGGTGAGGCTCCTTCACCGCTGCTTGCAAGCTGCCCAGTGCGGCAGCAGTGGCCATGTGGAGCAGCCGAGCTGGGCAGCCCACAAGTGGTGGTGAAGGAGCCTCACTAGAGCCTAGCATGGTGCTGTCTCTGGGCAGCTGCAGCAAACTGGGAGCAAGTGGGCCCGTGGGAGCCAGCGACAGCTGGACAGGAATGTTGGGCCCACGCCAGTGGGGCCCAAAGCGGGGCAGCACGACTACAGGGTCCTGGCTGGCAGGGGCTCTATGGAGTCAGACCAGGTCCCCCTTCTCCCAGCTGTTGTAGCCCAGCCCAGCTCCATAGACCCCTGCCAGCCCACACCCTGTGCTCCTGCTGCCCCACTCTGGGATCCGTCAGTGCTGGCCCTGAGACACCAGTGCTGGTCCCATGCTTCCGCATGCCTGCTGACTTCCACTCCCCCTGCCCCTGCTGCCACTTTTCCTACTTTCCTGCCCACCCGTCAACCACTCTGCACCATGTGACTCCTGGCTGCGTGGCCAGACCGTGAGACGCAGCAGGAGCTGGCCCAGCCCTGAGGACAGGGGCAATCTCCTGCAGTTCTACTCTGCCTACTCCCTGCCTCCTTACCTGAATTTCCTGCACCGGCACAGGCAGGAACAGCCCACGGTCCCAGGCCAGAAGCCTTTGCTAGACAGGCTTCCGGCTAGGGGAGTGCATGGAGGTGCAGGGCTGGGCCAGCCTTGCTGTTGCAGGAGCCTGCCCTGGCTTCCCCTGGGTGCTACTGCTCCTGGCTCCTGTCATCTTTGACAGACAGCAAGGGGCAGATAAATATTAATTTTCTAATTTTTTTTAGGGCCCCTGTCTGCCGGATAGAAAAGCCTGGCAAGTCAGATTCAGCCCTCGGGCCGTATTTTGCCCACCCCTGCTCTGTATAGATTGGGCACTTCAGTGGGGCTTTTTGGTGCTTTTATCTAATAGCTGATTCAATCACCCAATATTTATATCACCATTAAATCACCCAATATATCAGGGGCAGGCAAAATACGGCCTGTTAGGCCATTCTATCCAGCCCGCAGGGTCCCTGCCAGAGCAAAATTCAGATAAGAGGGAAGGGGGGAGGGAGACAGGGAAGGACTGTGGGCAATCATCCCAGTCCTTAGAGCTGGGCTGGGTTGGCTCCAGTGGTCCCGGCACCGCAGCTGGGAACCGTGTGATGCTGTAGTGGCCGGGGGGAGGGGCGAAGTGGGGAAATGGCTGCAGAAGGCAAGGGGAAGGGACAGCAAGTGGAGTGCAGCAATGGTTGGGCAGGAGCGTGGGGCCTGCGCTGATGTCTCGGGACCAGTGCTGGCAGGTGCCCAGGGCAGGGCAGCAGGAGTGCGGGGCCTGGGCTGGCAGGGGCTCTATGGAACCAGGCTGGCTCCCCCCCCTTTCCCTGCTGGCACAGCCCAGCTTAACTCCACAGAGCCCTGCCCAGCTCTTGCTGTGCCCACACGCTCGCTTGCTGCCACTTGCCTGTCACAGTCATTTCCCTGCTTTCCTGCCTGCCACCGCTGCCACACCCGCAACATAT